ATATATATATATATATTAAGATATATATATATATATCTGTCTTTTCTTTTGTTATACAGCGGTAGACAGATTCCCGTGCGTCGAGAGAGACAGAGTGGACAATATACCGGACGGTGGTAATGCGTCGCGCGGAAGAAGCACATCGTCAACGTCCGGCAAGCTGCAGGAACACTCGCACACACGAGAGGTGATATTCGCCCTTCCCTCGTTGCAGTTACACTTGAAAACTGAACATTTACAAACCGCGAGGACACCAGACGTCGTAGGTATGTGTAAATTAAAAATTCCCGATTTTTCTCACCGTTATTACGAGCAATATTTGTTTTACATTTACAGTCGCGTCATACACCGTCTTGTGTGTATCTAAGTCAATCGCGTATAATAATCCAAGAAATAAGTAATACGTAATTTATAATTTAATATGTAATTTATATCGTTTTCAAAAAACTTCCTGTTGAGTCTTGTATTTCTCATACGAAATATAAATGTCTCTTGTTCTTCCGTCGTAAAACTATTCCACAATTAGAATTTTTTTGTATATTTTTAGGACTTCCTAAACATATTTTGTATAGTAAGTATTTGAATGTGATTTTTATTGTGCTTAGAACAGTTGATTCGTTTGGTATATAGAAACAGAGATTTTTTAGTACATGCTTACACATGTAATAACTATTTACATGATATATTATTTTCACTAAATGCAATGCGTGTTTAATAAAGTTTTACAAAAAAAAAAAAAGTTTGAAAATACGAAGACTAAAAACCAGTTAAACTGTTATTTATGTTGGCATCGTTAGTTTTTGCAAAGTGAAAGTTTTAATTTTTACATATTTATTTGTCTCGAAAAATACTACACGTTATATTATTTTAATAACTATCTTGCAAGTAGCAACTGTTTTAATAAGCATGAAAAAGTAGATTTACTACATAGTAGTTAAGTGTGTACATTAAGAACGCCGTGTACACACGATTTATTACTATATTCTCGAAATTACAAGTAGTGTGTGAACGAAGAGAAACGTTTAGTCTTAAAAAGGAATTAAGTCTAGAACGTTATGTTGTGATTATATTATGTTTGAAAATAACATAAGATTTTATTGCGATTTTGTAGGCGAAAAACCATTAGTCGAATGCAGCTTCATAACGGAATTCGAAGATCACATATTCGTTACCGTTGACGCTGAAGCCTTTTTCTTCTTGCACGATCTCATTACGTCGTACGTTAAGGAAAAAGAAAAAGTGGTAAGAAACATTTTTCACGTTGGATCAATTAAACTCTAAGTACGTATATATTTTAACCCCACTAACGAGAAGCTTTTTATTTCTTTTCTATATTTTTAGCACATGATGCAGAACATGGGCGCTAGGGCGCACAGTCCCGATCCGCAAGAGAGAAAGAACGCAAACGCGAACACGTCCGCTAATATGTCCAGTCTGTCCGTCAGTTCTGAGGACGAGAAGAAACGCAAACAATTCGATCCGGCTGAGATGTTTATCAAGGATTGGCGATCGTACAGATGTAAAACATGGCACTTGGAGCCAACAGTAAGGTGAGTTTGTTATTTAAAGATACGATATGTGTATCACTAGTTGGTTTTGTTACTTTTTGAAAACAGTTGACTCCGGAGTTACAGTTACACGATTTCTTTTTCATATTGAAGCTCTGACAAAAAACTAATTTGACTATTTCTATCTCAAGGTTACTTTCATGGGCGGGCAAAAGTATAGAACCTTACGGCATCGATTACATTCTTCAAAAATTGGGCTTTTCTCACGCACGCACCACCATACCGAAATGGATACAACGAGGCTTTATGGACCCTCTAGACAAATTACTTGCCGTTCTTATGTTAAGAATGGTATTAGCCGTTCGCGAAGAGTCGGTGGACGAACAAAAAGAATATAAAAAAGAGAAATAATATCATATACCGTGATGTTTTTTTTTTTTTTTTTTTTTAACAGAAGCATCGAATATCGTGTAATATTTGTGGTATGTATTTCCACTTATCTGTACTAGATACTACATCCACGTAATTATTGAAATAGGTGAAACATTTCAGTGTTACATTTAAGAACGTCACATCTGTACATATAATATTATTTTTTCTTTCTGTTATTTGTTACTAAAGCACGTAGAAAAACAGCTAGTAATAATGTAATTGGGGAAAATAAGAGTCATAGTGGGGTAAATAATAATCGTTTCTTGGGAACTATGAAACTCGCGTACAAGCTGTTGTTAAATTATTTGTTTAAATGTATGTACGTGCTCTACGATATGTATCAATATAGAAATTTGTAAGAAATGTAATTAATACGTACTGATACACATACACACACACACACACATACACAAAAGCAACTGCATATTGTGTTACTATACATGTATTTTTTATTATGATTTTTATTTCAATTGTAAAACAGATACTGCGCGTAAGTTCTCTCTTGTAAGCAATATTTTAGGATTTTGATACAGCAATACACAAGCAAGTTGTTCGTATTTTGTTTACTTTTGTTTTACGAATTTGTAATTTATTGATGGTGCATACGATATACAAAGTGTCTGGGGTGAAGCGAGACATATTTTAAAAATTGTATTCTTTCAGTGAAAAACATATATATCATTTGTAATATTGGTTTTGCACGTATGTACATGATAAAACGTATTATAAAACGACGTTATGTGACTGTGATGATTACCACTATTTTTTATTATGTACTGTTCATTATATATATAAATATAAATGTGTAAATTATACATCCAAGTATATTTTCTCTATACACACATACGTATTGTTTATAAATTATACATATACTTCTGCAATATTCCCGAATAATAAAGTGCCATCTGTGATTTTTTTTTTATCAACATGTATTTATCTGTGTATATACGTTATATTTAAATATAATTTTAATTTTTAGATATTTAATTCACACACAGGTGCAGTTACAATAAGTTTATTTTTTCAGGGATGTAACAGAAATTAAAAGTTTTTAAAATGTTAATATTATAGTAAAAATCGTAATTTTTCTAGAACAATTATAATTTATACGAAAATTGTACATCTGCCTGTTGCGCGTGCACATATTATCCGTCTATAAGAAATTGATGTATATATATATATGCATTAGATAAATCAATAAATGTGTAATAAAATAAATTATATAGAAACAATGTGTATAATTACGAATATAAATTTATTATTCGCAGAATGCGCACAAGTAAAGCTTAAAAATACGTTTACTTATACATACGTTATATGTACGTGATAAAATCTTATTATTATACATAATTATAATACATATATGTATCTCTCTACTTTATAATATTGTAAATTTGTATTCTCTCACGTCATACGCAAAGAAACAAGGAAAACCAACTTATACACTAATAAACAATATGATATTAAATAACAAGTGAAGAGCAAAATTACAAGCATAAAAAAAAAAAACATCAATGTAACTGAATAAATGCATGCGTAGGAAACGTAAAGTTTGCTTCTTCGTGTCTCATATATGTAATAAAAATTTTGAAATAAACATTTGCAGCCAGATTCTGTTCTTTTTTTTTTTTTTGTTTTTTTGTTTTAATACATTACATAATTTGCGATATGTTTATATACCCTGTGTATAAGATGTGAGAGACAGTGAATAAATTGCTCACATATGATGTACAAAAAATGATACATTTCAAAGTAAACTTTCTACGTCAATATTGTAACAAATATCCGTACTGTTCGCGCGTGAGTACTGTAACAACAGGTAAATCGAGTTTGTAAATAAAATCCGTAGATGTGATCTAGAGCATCGTGTGTCACTCTACTTCGCTATTATTTGTAGTTACATATATATTATTATACAATAAAGTATAATTTACACAATATGTTCTTATATATTATAAATTATCCACACACGAATTCCGTTTCTTTTTTTTTTTTTTTGTTCTTACAATACAACATCACAATTTTGTAGCACTGAGCTCTGAGTATATGATACAGATATATAATCAACATATAATTGAAACATTGCTCTCTCTTCAGCATACAGAATGCATGCGTGGATAGTAGTAAAGATATTAGCGTGTGTTTTTAAATTTGTTTGAATATGCCGTGCATTTAACATGTGTATAAAATGATTGTTTAGCTCATCAAAGTACGCTCTTACACTTTTGTCGTCAAATGCAAAAATTGGTGTGTGATTTATTACGGATTAGATTCGAGATTCTTAAAGTCGTTTTTTAAATTAATAAGAAAAATCTACATTTTTCTCTGTTTTTTTTTTTTTACTTTTATGATTATACGAAATTAAACTTAACGTGTGTTACACATAATTACGAATAAATGATTCTTAATAATCTGTTTCTATTAATAAGATACGATATATAGCTAGATATATTTCTATTTTCACCCAGAAAATATATTATGTCAGCAGATTGTTGCCAATTGCACGTTGCAAATTGCTACCCTTTTGACAATTGTTCGTTTTCGACATAGATTTTGTTTGCCGAGGACACATGTCCTTCGGTACGAAATATGTGCGCATTCATATACGACAACTCTCTATAAATTAAAAATTTACTGTACAATATTTTTAGGAACTCGCGATTCTATAATATTGTATCTAAACAACTAATATTGCAGAAAGAAATAGAACAATTAGATATTTTGTGTGTGTGCGCTATGTTACTTTGTTCAGTTTTTAAAATTAATTTGTTGAAAACAAGGAGAAAAGCACACGTATCTCCCTTGATTAATAATATTTTATAGTACATCATAACATTCAAAAAATATTGTGCTCTGTGTATAAGTGTGAAATCATAAAGCATGCTATATTATTTATTATATGTATATAATAATATTTTTTACACAATTTGAATACTATAGTTCTTTTTTTTGTGCGATATAATCCTTGATAATAAGTTTATGCATATATTTGTGTGTGTAAATATCTTCACTATAATTATAATATTCTCAAGAGCACAGATATTCGAAGGATATTCATTAAATATTCTACGGATATCGTAACACTATCCAGTAGATATTCATAAGATGTTCTTGGAATATTGTGTGCTGTGTGATATAATATATTACATATATATATATAATTATTATAATTATAATGTCAAATATTACGTTTTTTATATACATTATTTCTATAAATTGGTATCAAAAATTAACATATCAACTGAATAAGATATATATACGCTAACAAAACAATGCTAAACTTTGAGTATAATTTTCACAGGAAAAAAGCTATAAATAATAAATTATTTAGAAAATGTAAATATTAATGGATGTAAAATATTAAAAGTAGTATAATATATGTATATATATATATGTACAATTGTGTGATAAACTCGATAGTAATACATTTTCTGATTGCATATAATATTTCTCTTACATAAATAATTTAATATGTATATATTTAAATAAAAGAGATATGACTGTGTGTTATTATGAAATATACATATATTGTAAGAACATGCAGATTTTTATATACAAATATATAGCAGGAAATGGTACACCTATTAACCACTGTTTAATCGTTCGTTCATCAGTGTATCGTTTCTCTACTTTAAAATGAGGATAATATAACTGTGTATTTGTGTGTGTCTTTTATGTATATATATATATATATATGCAACAACTAAAAAAATTTCTGCAGAATATAGTACGCGTCTTTCTCTAAGTTTTAACTACAAGTTATATAAATCTTGTTATACTCTTTTACGTTTATATTATTAATCATTATACTATGTAATTCGTAACGTACATAATGATATATAGAAAATACAATATACTGTGTAAACTACAAAAAGCAGATTACAAAGGCACAAAAGCCTTACTCTTTTACATATATATGTGTATATATATATATAAATTTTATTTATATATATAAACGTATATCTTTATATATATAAATAAAACATGTTTATACTTTTTATATATACAATATATATATATTTATAAAGATCTAACTTTTTTATTAAATCCTGTAAGAAACTTAATTAAAAACTCTTTCAAGATTTTCTTACAAAGTTCCCTGTAGAAGAGAAGAAAATTCATTGTTCTTCGCAGTCTCGATAAAAGTGTAAAGTAAATTCCAAATAGTCAACACCATGTTTGTTTTTGCAAATATTCTGTAATAATATAATACAATTAAAATATAATTGTTCAATATATGTGTAGATATAAGAGAACACAGTTTATACTAAATGTTACATCCGCAGACAGAATTACCTCTTGAGGCTGTATTGTGGGTATCCGAAATTTCAAAGTTTTCCTGAGATAATGAGCAACGTTGAGAGGAAAGAACTGATCACCCGATTGATTGTTAGTTTCGATGTATTGAGTTTGTTGCTGCGTGCTCCAACCACACACCATCGTTTCGTCAATACCGGAATTTGGGGAAAAAGGACACTGCTGCACTACTTGCCAATACCACGGCATGCCGCTGTAAAGAAGAAGAATAACTTCCGAACACTAAACGCTGTCAACATTTTATACACGAACGCACATCTCTGTGGTGGTTCGCATGTAAACAAATATATGTACATATTTTGCAAAACTCACACAAAATGTAATGTTAAATGTGTGTCTGGCATATGTTTCGACAATGGTACAACGCAGCTGATATTGTTAGGCGTATTCGGCGACGACGGGGAACAATATCTTTGATCTAAGGAAGTGTTGAAGGTTTTCGCTATTATAAATAATTGCGGTCTAGGCTCCGGCGGCAACGATCCTGCAGCATTGCTAGCGACTTCTCCCCAGTCCCCACCACCAGTCTCCCGTCTCGCCCGTTTATGTAAATATTTATAAGTGTTCTGTAACGTATACACGTTATATGTTTCAATTTTACTTACATATATTTCTTTCTTACGAAACACAATTAATATAAATTTTTTACTACATTAAAAGATCTACCTCTTTCACAAGAGTTTGAGTGCTAGGATCAGATGGGCTGATACCATTCTGAAAGCTTTTAGTTAACTTTCGTTTTTCTTCGTGTGGCATGCTTAATGGCTGTTCCAAATAATCTGCTAAAGAAACAAGGAAAATGTCACATGAACATATTATTTTGAAGACTAAATAAAAAACATGTACATATATACGCTGTAACATAAGACTCGGATAAAAATACTTACAAATAGATTTCTTCTCCGGAGGATGATCAGGCTGAGGATCTTCCAACTGATGAATCTCCGAGCAACAATATACCTAGAGAGAAAGAGTAAGTTTAATTTATTATCAGTAAGCAAATGTATGTGATCTTTATGCAAAATTTGCTGTACGAAGTGATGTCATTATAGATATTGTTGAATACCTGGCATGGACTTTGGAGCTCGGTAAAGTGGGTGGGACATTCTTCAGGTCTTCCTAAAGGTACAGGACCTTTGTTAACAGATGAAGAATCTATATCCGAAACTTGATAATTTTCATCCACATTGCTAGGAACAGCACCCGCGCCGTTCCTGCTAATTCCAAGCCAATTTCCCGGAAATTCGCTGAAATGGTTTTATATGTTTTATAATAATTTATATATTCTATAAAGTAATTTTTTTTTAATAAACGTGTGTGTATATTACAAGATCTTCTATTTTACAAGGTGTTCTATTTTATGATAAAAATCATCAAAAAATTTATTTATCTTATACTGACTTATTTTTCTCAAGCTTCGGTTGAGGACCTGGATGGCTTATTGGATACCGTGTTATTTCTTGAGAATACAGTTGTTGCTTCGTATGCGGAGGTGGCGTGGTGAGAGAATTACTTTTGACAGATAATCCTCCCTCTACTCCTCTTGTATAAGATCCATGTTTGGTGTACAAAGGAGATAACGTACTATGTAATAACGAATTGTATCGGTATTCGTAATTAGAAGTGGTGGACATGGTAGGTAGATGAGCTGGACCAATAGCCACCATTCCGTTGCTCGCCATGGTGGACCATTCGATGCTACTACGTTTCTGATATTCTAAGAAATACAAAGTTGCCATTGCAACCAGACTGAAAGTCATAGAGTGCCAATTAGTTACGCGTGTTTTACAAAATCAAATATCATGAATGTTTCAATGGAGAAAATAAGTAATTACCAAAATGCCATAATGAGAATAAGTATAACAATGATAATTTGAATAAATTTATTGCTACAGAGAAGTTCCTCCTCCCTTTCCAATCTTTTCGTCTTTCCGTGCAAAGACGACTTATTGCTGACAGAAGATGAATACTTATTGCCCGATATACTAGATACCGTGCTGATCGAGCTCTTTAGACTATCGCCTCTTTTTAATTTCGCTAATCGTTTATTTATTCTCTCTAACTGATCTATCCTGGTTTCTAGACTATCTGTCACCTATAATAAATTTGTTATTAGATACGTATGCGAACTCTTAAAGACAAAGAATACATATTAAATATCAAATTACAATATCTCAAGTTTACGGGGGAAAAAAATCTCCTCACCTTACATAATTCTTTAACGGCGCCAACGTTCTCCATAAATATTCTCTCTTTATTTACCACCAAAAAATTTTCAATTCTTTGACCATTTGGCAGAACTATATCACCGGCCGGCAACACCGCTTCTGGTAAAATTTGCTGAACCTCTTGCGCTATTACGCCAGTATCCTCTTGTTTGATATCCAGACCCGTGTGTTGTGCAAATTCCGGAGCGTATCGATAACGAACGACGCGTAACTGTTGCACGTTCCGTAACTGTTCGCGCGTATCCACCTCCTGAACGCTTTGTTTCGCTCTAGCGTCGCTAGGCTGTACAATATGACCGGTCACCTACACGCAAAAGCACAATTGGAAAAAATATAAAAACACTGAAAACTCTAATCAAAACTACTCGGAACTATCAAAACAAAAAAAAAAAAACCTTCATATTTCCGTGCACAACAAGAGCTTCGTCTGGCCTGTCGGTATTAATTCCAACTCTGCCAGCATGATACACACTATCCGGAGCCGCTCCTCTTTGCCATCCACCCTCAGCACCCACGCCATTGCCCTCCGACTCGAATTGTCCCGGATTACTCGCCTATAAGATGGGCAACTTATGAGAGAATCGAACTAGTTTTTCTAAAATCGCAACATTTTTTTCTGTACGACGCATACCCTCACAATTATACGTTCTGATGCATGAGCTATCACCTGATAGCTAGCTTGATCCGCGGTATGGGCGTGCAATCCGACAACCAAATGAAAATACCTCTGATCCGGATTTGGTTTTCCCTTCTTGCGCATATTATTGCTCGTAGTTTCGCTAAAGTGCAAGCGGCCAACCGTCACTTTTGTGACGCGCTCGCCACCCAATTCGACTCTGTAACGCGATATCTATCGTAGTTCTACATGTATATGTAATTGCACGCGCACTTTCGTTTTATATAAATATTGCGCTCGCATATACACTCACGTTACAGGATGAAATGGTTTTTTGCTTCTGTCGCTTTGACTTTGCTCGACCCTGATTGTTTGCGACGGAGATTCCACCTTCACTCCGTAAAAATGTAATTGAAAACCACTTATCTTCTTTAGACCTTCACCGGTTCTAACGAATACAGCCTCTCCTTGCAGTTGCGCGTGACACGTTATCTAAAATCGCAATGATTTCGCATAAAAGAACTTCGCATTCATACACTTTGCGGTCTAGAAACAAGAACGACCTGTTTTTTTTTTTTTTTGTTTTTTCAGGCCTTTGCGTTTCGACTGCAAAGGGGTTTAACGCTACGCTAATACTCGAAAGAAGAAATTTGAGGTGTCGCAAATCAACTGATAACATATTTCTCTTCTAATAAAATTTAAAAAAATCATAATATTGCCTGTTCACCTGAAAATGATTTTTTTTCTGACAAACAAATGCGTCGTCTGAATTGCTAAAATTAAACCCTTTGTCAGCGTCCACCCTGTAATGTGGTATGGGTAATTCTTTGAGATTGTGGTCGCACAGAACGTGCCAAGATGTTTGCTGAAAAGGATGAAATCGAATGCACTGGTAACTGGCGTCGATGTAATTGCTGTCACCGACTTCGTCGCCTTCCAGTACCGCGCTACTGCTGCTACAACTGTGTTCCACGGTACCCAATTCAGGTTCCTGAACGAACAAGATACACACTATAACTAATAATCAAACACACGTGTACAAACACACAAAATAAAAAAAAAATTGAAGTAAATAAAGAGAAAATATTGAATTATTGTATTGTTAAATTTTGATATATATTAAATTATTGACCAAGAAGACACGCAACGCAAGCGAGCACCTGTTTGACGTGAATGAGACCATCTTGACTGAGTTTTCTCTTTTTAGGACCCGATTGCAGAGAAGAGTACAGCGTGTTAATGCCGGACGGACTAGGTTCGTGCGACAAGGCCACCAAAGGCGGTCCTATTTGAGACTGCGTCGGAAGACTCGACGTTCCCGACGTGAGATGAGGTGTCAGAACCGGAGTCACTAACAGAGGATCCGTCGTCGTTGACGATAACGCTCTCGGAGAGGGAGGTAACAAATTGGGAGTGTACTGATTGTTTTGGTGATGCAAAAGTATCTCTTGCAGAGCCGCCTTTTGGTCTGCAATTATACAATCGCCGCGATATTACATTTTTTCTCGCTCTCTTTTGTGAAATAATCTTACATAAGCGAGTGTCTCAACTCACGTGGCGAGTGCATGTGTTGAGTGTCATTATGACCGGGCGGTGAATACGGCGGCTCGCTTCCGCTATCCGGTGGACTTTCCGGCAGCGCATGCCTGCCGAACGTAATACACATTGTGAAAATTTTTATCTAGAATTTTTTATCTAGACGCGCTTGATGTCGCGCTCGAAAATGTATCACAAATGTTTGACATACGGATGAACGTATGACTGCGGATCTTTGTAGCTGCCGTTGTTGTTGTTGGGTACCGTCGTGGTGCCGGAAGCGCATGCTATTGAAACTGGATGGACCTGTGTCATCTGCGGCGAAGGCAATCGCGACGGTTGTTGTTGCTGAGCGACCGTTTGCGACGTGGGCTGCTCGATGCGACCGCCGCTGTGAGGCGGCGCCGTTCCAACCCCATTTTCGTTGTGGGCGAGGGTGTCCGCGAAGTATCTAACACAAAGCCGGCAGACGATCGAGATTTTTCTCGCAATCTTTCTTTTTTTGTACTTTTTTTTTCTACTTATTGCATTTCTCAATCAAATACCTAGATTGTTATTTATCGCTTCATTTACCGTATTTGAATGTTTAATACACACATGTATAAATTATTTAATATAAATACAGTCAGTTATATCACGTATGTGCACCACGTAATATTAATATCAGCATCTTTTTATTGATCTTCCGAGAACTGCATGCATATCTGGAATAGCGATTACGGCATTCCATTTGCAAAACACGAGATATCGTTATCGTTTGAATCGCAGTTCGGTTCCGTTCCGCGGAAAATGATGCTTCAACGACTCGCGTTCTACGCGAGGTTTCTCAACTCGCGAAGAAATCGAGTGACAGACGTGAAAACGGCGATCGAGTGTTATTATGCAATTTTCAGTAAATTAAGGAGACGACACTCGGTGACGATTTATATCTCCTCTATTCTCCGATGGGGGTTTTCCACGAATCCCTTAGCCGTGAGATAATCGGAAACATTCGCGCGCGATAACAATACACGCAATCACTATCGATAGCGTCAAAAAAAAAAAATACTGCAAACTATCCATTCTTTTTCGTTGCATAAGCCGACGCAATTATGTTGTCAATCGAGCGGAAATTTCTGTGCGATTCTTTAAATACTTAAAAATTTATAGCCAAGTTATATTACCGTTGTTTTTTCCTCTCTCGTCGCATATTTTTCGTCACGATTAATCTCTCGTCGCGATTACATTTCTACGTTGTGTTTTTTCAATTAACGCAATTAAAATTGAATACCAAATGAAAACACGTATTTTCACACACACACACACACACACACGCGCGCGCGCGCGCTAGCTATCTTCTTTCAATTCCATCCGTATAAAATTACTTGGCGCGTTCGCGCGTCGATATTGTGAATTTTCTCTGCTTATCTAAACTAATATTTCTTTAAATAACATATCTGTTGCATGTTGATCACGATATATGCACGTGTACACGTATCGAAATCTCGCGCAAGTGTTGGAGCCACAACAGACCGAGAAATGACACGCAGAATCAGATAAACAATATATTTTTTAAGCGACACACAGCTGAAGTTTATTAATTAAATTTTGTCGCGCGAGATCAAAACAAATGTGAAAAAAATATTTTTTTTTAATCTTACATTGCGCCTCAAATTTTAGACTAATGCGAGTTTGCTACACAGACTCAGACTTGGATACTTGGTTACATGAAAATTCGAGTTCTCGGTTAATTAATCTCAAAAATTTTCCCGTCACGGTTAATTAATTTTTTTTTTTTTTTGTTTTTAAACAGAAGACGAACACTGGCAGTCAGATTAGCGGGGTTAGCGCTGTGCATGCTGTGATTCCATCAATTTCGTTCCGTCTGCCTCTGTCATTATATCATTACACCTCTGCTGCGGTCGCTATATCTGCGCGGATGTCTGTCTCTGTGCGCGCATCACGAGTGTGTGTATACACACACGTGACGTACATTACATGTATACGTACGTCTCTGCGCGCGCGCGTAAAGAATAGTTTGATGCGTTTCCTGGTGTACACGATTACATCAGTATGTACGCGATCGAGTCTGGGGAATTATAAGACGTTTTAATAACCGAACGCTGAATAAACGATCTGCTGCAAACTGGTGTTCGTCGGTTTTTTTGTTTCCATTGAAATTTTTTTAATTGTTTTTGTTTAACTGTGTGAAAGTTACGATACGTACGGAAGTTCGATTTTAATTAATTTGCTCGAAGTTTTGCTTGTTTGTTTGTTTGTTTTTTTTTTAATTTGATCTTCTATTTATGTATTGCGAGAGGTGATGTTAATTTTTAACTCCCGAGAGAGACGGAAATAAGTATTAAAAAAAAAAAAAAGAAAAAATACAAATAAAAAACACTCATTATAATAGGTATCGTCAACAAGTATTGTCCAAACAAAGTTCAAGCACTATAATCGCCACGCTGTAGAATAAGATACGCACTACAGCCTGAATACATAGTATCAAGATGGAGCAATTTAGAAATTTAGCTTGATACCCCGCGTCACTCGCAGGAAGCGCGCGCGCTCGTGCTGCTGGATGACAAAAGCATATCTGATCTGAGGTTCGTCAATTAGCGCAATTCGAAAACGGACGTCTCTACGTACGAATCTTTCCGTGAACAAGTATCTCTCCACATATTTCGAAATTATTCTCAGAAAAAAAAAACTCAGAGCGTTCGACTCTTTTTTTTTCAGCTTTTTTCTATTTTAACTTCAGTCTGTAATTTTATATACGTTATTTTCAGAAAAATTGTTTATACATCCTACTTTACGCGCGTATTGTGAATAACAGAATGAATGAAGTAATTATTGTTACGCATCTCTCTCTCTCTCTCTCTCTCTCTCTTTTGTCTCGAAAACGTTCCGGAAAATTAATCGACGGAATTTCAACAGGATTGTTTTTTTTTTCCGCAAATATCAGTTATTTCCCGATTACATACGTTCGAGCGCGATACGTGTTACGCACGTGTGACGAACACGCGCCGTTGTAGGCGTTAACCATGGCTTCTGAATGCAGTTAAACTCCGTCGCCACAGACCGAAGGTTTCGACGACGATCGGATTTCTCTTTGATCGACGTGTATCTTTTTTTTTTTTTGAGCTAATAAAAGCGCGAAAGATCGACGAAAAAAAAACAATCAGCAATTACAAACACGGACGTCCGAAATCGTCGCGTTTTCTCTTTGAGAAAAAACTCACGTTGCGGGTTGCTCGCTATCGCTGTTGATGAAGTCTTCCAGCTGCGAGAAATCCAAGGCCTCATTGTCTATACCTCCGACGAAATCACCACGACCTGGGAAAAAAAAATTCACGATAAGATAAAAAAATAAGCCGTGTTCTTTTTTTTTGTCGAAGCGAATTAATATGTATCCGATTTTAAGTGTGTGTGTGTGTGTGTGTCTGAGCGTGTGAAGGTCTTTCCCGTTTTGGCGAATAATTTCCGTCATGATAATACAGCGCGTAATTGGCGAACGAACACTACAAAATCGTTGTGCGCACGTTGTTCGCACACAACACCTGTCATCATCACCGGGTTATTGCGTCATCGAACGCAAGATGAGCCGTCGCGTGTGAGAGGAAACATCTTCTGGTGGGAAAAAAAGATTTCCCCGAGTGTGCAAACCTCGCGTCTTGAGTTATATGTGTATACAACGTCGTTCGCCGATCATTTTCAGCAAGAGTGAAAGTCGATTTATATTGAATGGGCATGAACACGAATTTCACGGATGATTGCGAACCCGAAGACGACGCAGTCGAATGAGCAGAGCGTTAACGAGCTCGGGGAAAACAGCGCGAACAACACGACCGAAGTTTTTGTTTCTAAAAAAAAATTTTTTTTTTTTTTTACGACTTTACAGCAACGGCCGTTCGCTCGAATCTGCGAACAATCGCGCGGTGAAAACGATTCATTATGTCTGGACAATTTTCTCGATACGGAAAAAACGAAATCGCGCGCGCAAAAGAGATTTGTGTTGCTGGCGAAATCGTAACATTGTCGTGTAATCATCGCGGTGCTACAATCGGTTAACGTTCTTGACCCTGTTTTTGAAACGCTCGGAGAGCATACGCCGAGTGCATACTTGGTGGATATACTATTTGTACGTTTAAGATCATAAGCTAAGCGGTGTAATACGTTACTTCCGGTCAAACAAACATTCATCCAGACGCGCGTTCTCGCTAGGAGAGTCGGGAGTAAAAGCATTTTTAAACGAGACGTTCACACACGTTCTTCTCGCGTATAACAGAAAGATCGCGTTATACAGTCGAGTGTGTGTAAAAACAAATATTCCAACGATCACACACGCGCATCAATGGCCGGATGTTTGTTGAGAAGAAATAATTATATGCAAATATTAAATATAAACAAACGTAACAATGTTTTAAGTAATTTGAAAATCCAAATCAATAAAAAACAAGAGCCAAAAAACCAAGCGCGAGTTGTTGTCAGAAGTAAATATTCAAAATCAAATGTCTAGCATGCGTGTGTGTGTGTGTTTATGACTTTATTATTCTTATTATTAAATCAGCTTTATTATTTCTTTAATAAATGTGTCCGGCCAGTTGTACTTGTCCGGGGTCATCGGGACATTTAACTGCGGTTAACCGTGCCACGTTGAATTTTGGGATCTTTTTTTTTTTTCATCCACAGCATCTTTCAAAAGTCATTAAATTATTTGTTTAAACAAGTAAATTGTGTTTAAATTAAAAAAGTTTTTTTCGCGAAGCGGGGTAGAGACGATATTGAGTTGAAATATTACCGAAAGCTTTTGATTTTTTTTTTTTTTCGCGAAATCCTACTTTCAAACAAAAATGTTACATCGAGATAAAAGAAGACACACGAACGAATTCGGTTGGCACAGCGAGTTTTTCGCTCATCGTTGTGATCGTAATAGAAATTACTATATTTAATCGCACAAATGACGTCCGGGAACGCGGTATTGGCCGCGGACGGTGTCTACGAAAAAAGAAATGGAGGGGTGAGTTACGATAGCGGACGCGCGAGTCGTTGCCAGCCAACCCCTTTATCGGGGTATCGACCAAACACCGCCCCCGGTGAGCCAGGAGGCCGTTTAAATCTGAATATCATTACGCCAGATATGCGCCACGCGCGCATACTTATAAATTTATATCGAGCCGATATCTCAATACATGGAAATTCGAGCGGCCGATGATGTTATATATATATATATATATTCAGCGTCTTGTAAAAAAGCGGAACCAGTTCGTACTCACGTACGATCCACTTTTTTCAAGACGCTATAAATATATCTCTCAAAGATGAAACAAAGGAGACAAAAGAAAAAAAATGTATATTCGCAAATAACACAAAGTGTGTTTCTCGCGCCAATTAGCATGTGAAGAAAAAGACGAGAGTATTTTCACGGAATATCCAATCGAGATATCTCATTGTCTTTTTTTTTTTTTTCAGTTGAACATCGGACGAAACAACGTCACCTTCCTTTCCGCGAATGTGCTTCAAACAATAACGCGCGCACACATACTTGTCTCGCGCGGTGAATTAAATACCATTTTCAAATAGTACACAGAAAAAAAAACGCGACTTTCACCGAGAGTGCAATCACATTTTTTTTCTCGTTGCGCAACGCAACGACAACGATTGTTGATTTCCAAGCTCCGACACATCCGATCTTTTTGCAACAAAATAATCCCGCGTCTCTGTGTTCTATTTCTCAATCGATCCGAATGAGATATTGAGTATAAAATCGCTCGTGTACACGGACTTTCGATCTGTATATCAGGCTGGCTATCACTTTCTCTCCGACGATGAAGCAAATGGAAATGCGTTTTGCGGACTCGTCTATGAGAACTGATCGGTTTTTATCCTTCGCGATGGAGCGAGCAACAAAGTGCGTTCGCACTCGGAATGTTGTCGATCCGCGACACGGAGCGATAATAATAACGCACCCTTACGCAAAACGCGTAATATACATTGCACCCTGTCATGATCGTATCGTAAACGTTCAAACGGAAGAAGTTAATCGAAACTCAGTCGATTTCACCCTCCGGTGAAACACTTGGCGCAGCTGCGCTCTGTGTGAGAGAGCGCAGCGCGAATTCTAATAGAACCCCACCTGTGCCCTTAAACGATTAGCAGGGTGTAGCATTTTTTTCACGTCTGTTAACAGGCTCTCCCGAGGGGGTCGGCACTTCGAACGAGTCGCAGGTACTAAACTGGGCGTTTTACGATCGTCGAGATACCGAAATTCGACGTGTAATTACGACACGCTACAGTGCTCGTCGCGTAAACTAAAATTGAACTGTTCAAATAGCGAAAAAATATGCCGACTCTCAGATAAATAAATAGAAGAAATTTTTCACATCAAGAACAACGTCGAACAATTTCTAGACGCGATGTTTTTTTTTTTAGTTAAAAGGAAATTTGTTTTTTTTTAGTGTTTCTTGAATTATTTATCGATGATTAAGAAAAAGAAAAAGAAAGCATTGTGAAAATATTTGCCAGACAAATTTTTAACAAATACAAACACAATAATAAATTTATTATATCTTGTCTCAGTAAATCTTTCTCCCCGCTTCAAGAAAGATATTACTATTACATGTACAATTGTTATCGTTTTATACATCAGAGTTTATAAAAAAGTTTTAAACATATTAACAAATATATTAAAATAAAAAAAACAAGCGTTTTTCTGTCGCTTATTTATTGATGTACTTTTGGAAGGGAACAATTTTTTTTATTTTAAGAATAAAAAACACAAAATTTGAAAAACAATGTAATTCTAATGTAAAAACTAATGCAAAAATTCTATACGCAAGACAATTTACACGCCGATTACCTGCCACGCTCAGCAATCGGCGAACGTTCACTTGACTGATAATATTAGCGTCTTCGTCATGATCGCCTGGATGAGCTCCACGTCCGTTCGTCTGATCGTTCGACTGATGCTGAAGCGCCCATGAAAATTCCATAGTGAAATTTGTGTGATAGCGAATCCCTTCGTTCACTCTCGAAAGATCGTGAGATTGCGACGACGCTTTGTCGCTACATAATTATCGTCGCGAACTTGAATATCATCAAACATAACGCGGCAGCATTTGACGCGCAAAGCCAGTGTCACTTCTTTGTTTGCATATAGGTTTTCAGTGTCGAGTTGAGATTTTTTTTCTTACAGTTTACAGCGGTTTTATAACATCTCACGAGTTTTCTTCCGCGAAACGGCGCGTCATCGCCACGTTAAATCATCATATGTGACGTTTCTCGTCACAACTCCGCGATAAGGCACGAAACGAAATAATATTACTCGACGATACTTTCAATCGCGAATTGAAGATATCGGCACCGATCTAATTGTCGATCCCTCGAGATGTTTCGTGTTCCTTGCGATTTTCTCTGGTTCAACGGGTGCAACGAAACACAACAACAGTCCACGGTGGTTCACAACTTAATCGCGAACCTCCTCCTCCGGGGAGAACTCCAATACCGCCACCATATTCCAAGTAAAGTGGGGATTTCCATCCTTTGACCGGAGGGCGGTGCTTATTTCGGTGCTGTAAGGGGTGGTTGTACGCAGCCCCTTTCTTCGATACGTATACCATCACACGTAAGACGATGAGACCTCAAGAATCAATGTTTTCTTGCAAATGAACATTTATTGAGTTTTTTTAGTTTCTTTCTTGTTAAATAAAAACAAAGTTGAAGATATATTTGGTTTTTAATCACATCCGTCTCAATTGGACAAATAATCGAAAAAATATTTTATTCGTTATTATTTTTTATTTCTGCAATATTTAAATAATTTAATTAACAAACAAAAATCTCTAGCTTTTAGCTACGAAGATTTTTTTAATATTTCTGTCCCGCTTGTGCTTTTTCTTCGTTAGAATAAAAATCATTCGGAACATTGTTTGCGAATAAATTGCATTTCTGAAATTTTTCACTTCGATGGATTTAGTTGTTTTTTTTTTAGCGCAAATGACAAATAAGCTGTGACATCTGAAAAAAAAAAATTGAATCGCGAGACGTGCAGATAAACTTATTTTTACTAACGAGGCGATATCGATTATTGATTATTTACCGCTGTCAAAACGCGGCCGGGTAACACACGAGCACGGAATCCGCGAATAAATTCGTAGTAACCCAATTTCCAATCGCAACGATTTATAATAAACATAACGCGCGAATCGTTTCCTTCTTCCACGAGCGGGGACAACGTGTGCCGCCGACGGAGAATCATTGTCCCTCCTCTTCTTGTCCCGCGCTAGAATTCTTCACACACCTGCTGTTCGTACGTACGCCACTTGTTTCACCGAGAA